TGGCTTGGAATCACAGATTTGCATAATGTTATGGCTGGTGATCACTAATTGGTCGGCCGGGAATCACGCCACATCATATTTGCATAGTGTTATGGTTCAGTAAGCAGTAATTGGTCATCGAGCCCGATGTAGACGCTATAAAAAGGTTAAGTTGAAGCAAGAGGGGGAAGTCCACTCCAACGGAACTTTGTAAGATCACTTCAGTTTTAGTTAAGTTCAGTTCAACATGACCGGATATACGTCACTCTCGTCTAAGTTCGACTTGGGAATTTTTTTGTTCAATAGTAAATGTGAATTCTTCATGGAAAAATAAGACATCCCCTGAAAATAAGACCTAGTGCATCTTTCAGAGCAAAAATTAATATAAGATAGTGTTTTATTTTCGGGGAAACACGGAAGGTACTGCCAAACATGCTTGCACAAAATTGAGCATTGTCTTTCAGTTTTGGAAATGATGTATCAGGCAGTTCTTTGTAGAATGTGAGGAGATTAGAATTTTTAAACTGTGATTTCAATTCATCACTGCACTGGATGTTTATCAACTCAAGTTGGACATCTGGAGGGGTGTCTTCCACTTTCACATCAAATGGAGTTGAAAAAAGTTGCAGGTAGATCTTGTATTTCTGGAATTCACCAAACCTCTCATTGAATGATGTAAGGAGGGTGTTAACTTGGTCAGAGTAATCCATCTTCATATGTGGGTATTTCTCTTTCATGGCCTTGCAATTGTGGGGGCCGAGGGGGGAGAAATAAAAAACTTGATGAACGATAATATGTGATATATATCGTCATCGTCTCCCTTGCCGTTTGGATTGCCGAGCGGTAACAATCAACGACATGTGGAAGCAGTTGAATCAGAGATAGATGCTTCGTTTACAAACAACACAACCGTTTATTAAATACAAAAGAAGCTTACAAGATTTCTGCGATCTTTTGAAGTTCTGCGGCAGTTGTGGCCTCTGGGTCTTCCTCTCCTTTCCAAGACAGTCCCGTTTTGAAGGAGTGTCCCTTGTTCGTGAATGAACCATTCCATCACGTCTTGACGACTCCGGGACGATGCGGTCGACTTCCGTTGATGGAAAGATGTCGATCCGAGGTCTGGAGATGGAGATGAAGATGGGTGCAAGACACACACACAACAACAGATCCGTCACTTGGAACTTTCGGGAGAAGAAGCCGTCGCGTCCTCGAATTTCCGGGGTTTTATCCGTTTTCTCTCAGATTCTCCTTCCTGATTGGTCTCCTGTTGTCACCTGATGACAATTCGAAACCTTTCGGGGGCGCGGGAGAGGTCAAAATCAAAGTTTAATTCGATCTCCAACCGGAAATAGTCGACGGACTTACATTCTTCTATTGTTTTAAAGTTAGCGTCGCATTTTCATATCATAAAAATCTATTTCTAACTAATATATATTTTTGTTCTAAAACAATTATTTTAACGCGAATTTTAGTGAGTGTTCGGATCTGTCCAGAGCCTCACACAATGTGGAAAGTGTGTAAAGTTCTCTGATTGCATGTGAGACTTGAAAAGTGATAGTTTGGTCATAAATGCATTGATATTACTTGTCAACTGAGAAACAAGTTGCATCTTTTCCTGCAATCTCAAATTAAGGTCGTTTAGATAAGAAGTAATGTCAGCAAGGAAAGCTAAATCACACTGCCATCTTTGTTCCTCCAAATTCCTTGTAGTGTTCCCCCGTTATTAGAGGAAAGTGATAATAGGCCCCAATAGCTCCACAAATCTCTTGAGGACTGCTGCCTTGCTCAGCCAACAAACTTCAGTATACGTGGGCAGGTCAGCATAATCAGCATCTATTTCTTCAAGAAATGATGTGAAGAGTCGATGGTTGAGTCCATGACGGCGGATTAAGTTCACAGTATCATATACATCTTTCAGCAGACGTTCAAATCCCAGCTTCTTTGCACAAAGTTGCTGTTGGTGAATTATGCAATGATACTGGACTAACTCCTTTTGCCTGTCCCCAAGGTGGTTTTTCAGCAAGGTGACCATGCCATTCTCACATCCAACCATAGATGGTGCTCCATCGGTGGCAATGCTGGATAGCTTGTCAAAGTCCAGTGCTGATTTGTTGCAAACGCTCAATAAACTAGTAAATAAGTCAGCACCAGTTGTATGTCCAGAAAGTGATGCCATGCCAAGAAATTCTTCATTCACAATAAAATCTAGTGAAACACTTCTAATAAACACAATCACTTGTGCTGTTGATGATATGTCAGTGGATTCTTCCACAGCCAAAGAAAAATAAGCACAGTTTGCAACTAAAATATTAAGTTGGCCAGAAATGTCTGATGCAATTTGCGAGATTCTTTGTTGTATCGTCATGTGGTTAAGACTGATTGTTTGAAAACACTGTCTTCTCAGGACACATCTCACTTGCGATGATAAGACACTTTTTTATCATATCGCCATCTGTGAAAGGTTTCCCATTCTTGGCTATTAAAGCAGATATTTCTAGGCTGGCTTCAACAGCCGCATCCAATTCTCCAGATTGTTTCTTGAACACATTTTGTTGGCTGATTAGTGATCGTCGTAACGATTCGATTTTCCGTTTGCGTTCCGTACCTTGCAGAAGGAAATCCTTGTGTTGGCTTTCATGATGTCGCTTCAGGTTGAATTCTTTTGGCACTGCTATTGTTCCATTGCACAAAAGGCAAATAATGCTGTTGTTCTGTTGCACAAAACAGTACTTGTTAGTCCACACTTCCACTTCTTGAAACTGATGATTCTCGCGATTGACCTTGCGTTTAATGCCCGGCGCCATACTGTTCACTCTGCAAAACAATGTCTCATTGTGCCGAAAATTCTGAGGCCCGCAACAAATCATGTTTGAGATAAGGCAAGCTAGACTACCACGTGCTTTGTTCTGTATCCACTCTGACCAAAGACTAAAGAGGCGGGGACAGAAGACTATTACGCACACGTGGCCAGGCAGGTCTTAATTCGTTCGACCCCTGTCCGGGCGTCTCCACCATTTCTCAGAATTTGTGAGTCAGATCGTCAACATGCCAGGTGCAGGACACTAATCCATCATAAATGTGGTTACCATTCTTACCTAAATTATATTTATGGCCCGTCAGTTTTACCCCCGTGTTCAGAAATGAATCAAAAGTGATTAACACAGTGCAGTGGAAAATCTGAATATTTTAAATATAATTATTAAAATTGCGATATCTCGTTTCAAATTGGCGCTAGAATCAATCTGTTTTTTTTTTTTTTTCTGTCCTAAATATATCACAGTTTACGACTGTTAAATTTCAAATAAAATAAAAATTAAAAATAATAATTTAATTTTAAATTTACGAAAAAAAGAATGTAAAAATAAAAGTAAATAAAAAGTTCCAATTAATTTACTACTTAAATAACCTAAATATATCTGTTTTCTTTCAAACAAAAAAAACCGCAGCTTTCTAGCTACACGGAATCATTTTACAACCCTCTTTGTTGACAAGTTTATGGCTTGACGCGGTTTGTAATAATTATTAAATCCAAAATATTTTAATGCAAATGGCTTCCTTTTAGTCGTAATGACTCTATTCCAACTACAGTATTAATTTTCTTGGTCCAACTTAATAATAATAAATTTGATGTGAAAAATTTTTTTTCTATTCTTTGTCTATGGAGAGATATTGTTGTAAATTATTGGTTTTATAGCTTTTTGTACATTCCTTTTTGAACTCTGGTTAGTTTTTTTCTAGTTTGAATGACATTAGGTTGACGAATAAGCGTCTTTTCAGAAAAGATTGATTCAAATTCGACTATACCAATCAGAATCTAGAATGTAAACAAATGCTAAAAAATCGTTATTTTCATGGTTTTTCAGCGCTATTTTCACTTATTTTTGTTATTTGACGCTATTTAGACGAATAGGCAAGTTTTCCGAAGCATAAAATTGAAGATTTCCCGCCAAAATAGAAACTTCCCGCTAACATTGGAAATGACGTTCTAACATCATTTTCAAATATTTGATATCTAAAGCAGAAAGTGTTAGCTAAAAATAGACTTATTTATAGAACAGTCCCCCATTTCTCACCTCAGGGAAAGTCATAAAACAGTTGGGTGCTAATGACTTTGTGAAAGGGAAAAAGTTCTACACTTAGAAACTTCGAAAGAAGGGATTTGGCCTGTACTGTCCGCGGGCCGCATAAACATTGATAGGGGGCCGTATGTGGCCCGCGGGCCGCAGGTTGTGCACCCCTGACTAAACTTTGAAAACAAATGCTTAGTGTGAATGTGACATATTGTGTAGACATATCATGACATGTTCAGATTTATTTAAAAAAATCTTGTAATGTAGTTCTTAACTTCAATTCAATGATTTTATTATCCAGTCTTAGATCATGTTGGTGAATGCAAAAAGTAAGGTCTTAATCTAGAATCAAAAGCACAAAGTCTTGGATTACAAAATTATGGATTTGAATGTGGTTTAATTCTATTATAGATGTAAACATTAAATCAAAATAGATATAATTTTAATTGACTTTGGAACATTGAAGAATATTTCATGTAAAGACATAAATTGAATTAAAAGTACAGTGGATGAGTGAGTGTGAGGTAGCAAGAGAGATCTTACCATTATATTTAGTTACATTATTTATTTTTCATTTTGTTTCAGTTATTTTGAGTTTGGGATTGAATTATGTCAAACCTAAACAACTGCTATCTCAGCATTTCCTGGCTTCATTTGCATAATGAATGAGATTGCATTCCACTAATTTAGGGTTTAAATATGATTACAAAAATATAGTACAATATTTATTTAATATTTTAATTTGATATTAGTAGAAATACTGGTCAGGAAACATTTTATTGTTTTATAAGCATGCTCAATATGCAGATTAGCATTATATGAAAAAACCATTGTAAAATTGATACAGCAAGTTAAACTTTACTTCTGCTTGTCCCTGTTCAGGTACCAAACTTGTAAGGTCCAAAATGTCCTTTTCCCAAGAATCCATTACTTTTGGAAATAAACAAACCTTTTTGTACTATGAAAAATTACAAAATGAAAAATACATGTATCCTAATATTACCATAGAAATTGGCAGTAAGATGAAAAGATATTTAAATTTTAGAAAATTTCTTTAAATATACAATTTTTGATACGTTTTCCTCTTTCCCCCTCCCTAAAATTTGATTTGGAAGCTTCCATCAGTCCTCAAAAGTATCATCACTAACCAGTTATATTTATAACCACAATTATAAATTACATATATTTGAAAAATTTTCCAATACAGACACTAGAATCCAAATAATTGAAAAAAAATTGATAAAGCATAAATTCTTCAAATATACCTTGATTGGATTAGTTGTTTATATTCATCTTGAGACATATTACTTATTTTTTCTGTATTGACAGCCATTTAATTTAGACTAATTACATTTCAATTTCAAGAAATTTTGATATTAGTTATTTTTTTTTTTTTTATTTGGTAAAAGCTGGCCTGTTATTTTTGATGTCTTCTTGATGTTCATGGATACATGAACTTAATTTTCTGGTAGTAGCTCCTACATAAACCAGACTTTACTATATTTCAAATAAATAAACTTTACTACATTTCTTACTCAATGCTTTTTGAATAATCGTGGAAAGAACAAATATATTATCCAAAGCCTAAAAACCCTTACAAAAACCAATCTGAAAGTCTGAAAATATCCCATAATTCTCAGCCTAAACTATTAACCAAAATTCTCCCAAATAACTGAAAAATAAGAAAGAAATACCACAATAATTTTGGGGAAGATTACATGATCCTTTTTTTAAAATTGGCACATTAGTAAAATATTTCCTATCAGCTGGAAAGGACTGAGTTGAGAAACTTAGTGCAACTCTAATTTACTCAGGATTGTTGTCATTTATATAAATACCCGAACCTTTAAATCTGTTAGCTCTTTCTTTTATCAAAAATTTATCTTTATAGTCAAAGAAGCTACAAAATATGAGTCTCGACCTCCCTGGAGATCGTTTGTCAAGTCTATAATCTCTATTAATACTCACATTCTCTACATTGAGCAAATGTCTAACACCAATGATTTCATTATCTCATTATTTTCTTCAGGAAATTCCTTAACTCCTGAAACTACAATATTACATCTACTAAAACATTCAAACTGCAGAATCGCATTTGAGATAGAGGGCAGTTGTACTTCAAGTTGATTCATAGTCTCTTTAGAAATATGCAGAGTAGGTCCACCAGAATCCAATTTTTACAAATGCTCCACTTGCGTTTCTAAATCCACTAACGCCTTGTCTAAATTCGTAACCCATACCTGAAGGTAATCAAAACACAAAATCAAATTATCCAGTTTATCATTCATACTCTGATTCATTTTAACCAAGGCTACCAGACTCTCTTTCATCTCAAAGTCACCTTCTAATAGTTGGTCAACATTTAAATTACCTTTACCTCAAAAAGACAAAACTTTGTTCTATGCAAATAGTTCATTTTACTTTTGTTAAAATTGAATTCATTAACATTGTTTGTTGATGTTGTTGTTTAGTTGTTAGAATTACTTTCCATAATCTGTAATGCATTAATGTCTGAGATGTCAGATTAACATATTTATCTAAAGTGGAGTAGATTATTTGGTTGCCAAAAGGAGTCTGTTTCTAATGATACATTTGATAAGTGCTATGAACTGTCAGTCTCCTGTAATCAGCACAAAAAAACTATGTAAGAAATAATTTTCTCATCTTTTTTGGTTGAGAGATATATAGTCTAAAGTCCAGCCTAGATGTTCACAAAGTACAACAGCTTCATCCTGCTTAAAAAAAATACCAGGCACTGTCCTGGTATGACTACTGCACTGAATAAAACTATAGTTCAGTATGCTTTTACTAAAAGTGTAAGGGAGTGCAAGAATTTCTTACAAAAATGCATATGTCTTCAAAAGTTTGAGACCCATTGAGTTAAGAGAAAATAAAAGTGTGACACTTAATTAGATAATTTTTAATTATTTGAGAAAATATTGCAGTCTTGTTAAATTATATTATAAAAATAATGAATTTTTAACCATTTAATTTAGAAAGTTATTTATTTATGTTTAATTTTGAGAGAGATAAGCCAGGGGTACTACGTCTGAGTAACACTTAATCAGCACAAATTGAGAGATTCGATCTCTAATGTCAATGGATGACTTCCTCAGATACTGAGTTTAGTCCAGGAGTTTGTAAGATCTCATGGAGGTTTGTTTTTCCTGACACCAGTTAATCTATTTAATCCACGAATTAGCATGCGTAAACAAGGAATATTGAGCTGGAGGGACATAAGTAAATGGTGAGGACATAGGTCTGGACATTAGTCATTGAAGAGACCATAATTTAATAACAAAACAAAAATATTTAATAAAACAAAAAAAATCAACGTTACAAATATATTAGGCTTCCTAACACGCGAGAGACAGAGAGAGAGAGATTACAAAGATTCGAAGGTTATACTACCTTAACAGGTTCTTGGTAATTTGGCCTTTCACGCTGTCTTCCCTTGGAGCATCAAGAAAAAGTTCGTTTTAAGCTCAGGGATTTTATCATCTGGTTCCTTACTTCTTGATCTTGGGAATTTTGGACAGCACTTGATAAAACGGCTTGCAGCTTGTAGAAATGATGAGGGACCCTTCAAAGATTTGGGCGTTGGTCTTGGGAGACTGCCCTGGAATACGTCTTCTCACTTAAAGATATTTTGGTGCACTCTCCGAACAAAGGGAAAGAATCCGATTTTTCACTGATTTCCTCCAATTAGCATGTAGTATTTTTCCATGTGAACAGGATGAGTGGAGAATTCTAGAGAGGTTGACTGTCAGTTTGGTGACTAAATTTTTAAAGATAAGGGAAAAAGAAAAAGGATGTTCAACTTCCACTGGGGAGGAAGTGTGGGTTAACAGCTTCCCTTTTTCTTGTGAAAATAAAGTTTTTCTTTCAAAACTAAAATATTACTTTTGATATTATTATTTCAGTTAAAATTGAAAGAAACAAAAAGGGGGTATTCAAAATCTCACGTTTGTAATTATGCATCATTTTATGAAATTTTAGGGTACAGTTGATTTTGCTAAAGAAATAGAAAGACTGGAACAGAAAAAAGAGAAACTTCAGTCTCAGCTTGTAAAATCAAAAACTTTGTATAGTTCTTCTGATTATGAAAGTAAAGTTCCAGAAGAAATAAAAGCGGCAAATATAGAAAAGGTAATTTAAATTATTTATGTAATATTAAGTAATGATTTATTAAATTGTTTTTATTTAGATTGCTGAAATGGAAGAAGAAATAAAGAAAATCACAAATGCTATAAATACATTACAAATTATGAATTAACATTGATAATGTATTAATTTTTGTATTTATTGATATAAAAAAAATAGCTAAATATAAATTTTATTGGTATACTAGTATTTATTGCTTAATCAGAAAAATAAATTTACTAATAAAATTTGATAATATGTATGGTAATACTTTTGATAATACTGTACTTTAGAATCAAATGGATCATGGAATCTAGATTAAATTCAAGCTGACCATAACTTGGTACAGGTAGCAGTTCTAATCTCTTACTCATGTTAATCAACCTTATTGCATTGATCAGATGGCTATATAATAAGATATTAGCCTAGTGCTGTAAATATTTGAATACTTTCAGGTTCCCAATTTATCATAGACAATAGCAGTTTGGGACATCATTTCTCATTACCATTGTGAGTGACAACATTGCAGGTCTAGTCCATCAATAATGGATGTAACTGTGGCAAGTTGTACAACCTACAATGTGCTGGTATGTTTCATTAATTAATTAATAAACTGACCATATCATAAATTAGCTGCCCATAATGGGTTTAATTGTACCTGTGCATATACTATAGCTTAATGTGCTGATGTCTCAAAATCAATCATTATATGAAGGGAGTCTGATATTAAAGGTACAGGCCAAAATTACACTAACATTTATAATTAAAGAAAATATTTAATACATTCCACAAAAACTATATACTTTTGTTTATTTCTCGACATAATTGCCTTAAACGTTGAGACATTTATCCCAGCATGACACTAGTTTGAACATCCCTTTACAGTACTGTTTCATGTCAAGTTGCTTAACACCTTTAGTTCCCACAATTTTTGATATTAATGTAATTAAACATAAAAAATACTTAAAACTGAAAAAAATGAAAGAAATGCGTTAATTTTGAAGAAAAAGCTTCAAATTTTATTTTCCTTTGTCTCACCTTTCTGTGAAATCTGACGCTGATGAGTCATTGTTTACACAGCTGGAGTTGGATTTCTTGGGACATTCTCATAGAAGTCTCGGGAGGCGATGGGTTTATAGTAGGGTGAATACTAGCTGGCTGTATATTTTTAAATATTTTTTTAAAAAGTAATAATTAAAGTAGTCCAAATGGTGTCTTCCAATTCCTCCTGATCAGCAAAGCGTTCCCCACCAAAAATTTCTTTAAAGGTCTGAATAAATGAAAATCTGACAGGGGCTAAATTTGGATTATATGTAGATTATTGCAGGACCTCACAATTCTGCTGTGCTGACCATAGTTTGGTTTGATTTGACGTGTGAAATATAGTCCAGATTTAGCCTCCATCGGATTTTCGTTTATTTGGACCTTTAAAGAAATTTTTAACAGGAAAACGCTTTGCGGATCAAGAGAAATTGGAAGACACTGTTTGGACTACTACAAGCAACTTGACATGCAACAGTACAGTGAAGGAATGTTCAAACTAGTGTCATGCTGGGATAAATGTCTCAACATTTAAGGCAATTATGTCAAGAAATAAACAAAAGCATGTAGTTTTTGTGGAATGTATTAAATATTTTCTTTAATTATAAATGTTAGTGTAATTTTGGCCTGTACCTTTAAATTAATTAATATCTGTACTATTTTAGATGCGATTTTTTGTTTTCAACTACATTTAGTCTTCATTGAATACTTAGGTGTATTAAATTGATAACATTTCAGACATTGTTATAAATATTTTTATATATCTTGATTTTTTAACCAAATGTTCGAACTATTTTAAATTTGAATTTGTAATTGCATATTGGTTTGATTATAGAACGATTGTAAATGTTCCAGAAAATTGATCAAATTGAAAGCAGTTCATTTGATTCTCAGCAATTCTCATCATTCTCAGTGGTAGGTGTTATATCACAATTACTATGGTTGTTGAAATACTGAACATAAATGGGTTTGCTTCCAAAATCTGCATGGGCAAAGTTGTGGGTAACAGCTAGTGGCTTATATTATTAGATCAGCAACCACCAGCAGCTCCTTACTACTGACAAGGAAATTCTCTGATAGAATGGAAGTGGGTGTATTGTGGACAAGGAAAATCTTTTGAAGTAACAAGGCACATTTTAACCTGAATGGAATAGTGAAAATTCATAAATGTTACATTTAAGCTACACAAGACACCTGTATTTTCCAGCATATTTTACTGCACTCACCCAAAGTTAGTCTGGTGTAAATTCATAACCACATTTATTCTTGGACAATTTTTCTTTGAAGAAAATAGTTTCGTTGGACCTATGACATGCTTTGTCATGGCTCAGGGATACTAAGAGATGCTCAACATTTCTGTCATATCCCAACTGCAACAGCGAGAATACCTGGAGTCAACCATTTTTGTGCAAAATGAATTACCTCTATATATATTGGAGACTGTACAAGTTTCTGTGACATTTTACTAATAGCAAAGTGATTAGTTGTGCATTTCCTACAGCCTGGCTACTTCATTCTCATTCTTAATTCACATGATTTTTGTTTGCATGGACATTTAAAAAGAGTTATTTAGTAGTCAAGTACTGTACATGTCCACTGAATAGTAGGTTGACAACTTAACTGCCCAGTCACCCAATTGTAGTATAATATTGCATGTAAGAAGCAATACTCAGAATAAATTACTGTCAACCATTCAATATGTCGATCATTGCCTTGAGGTTCTTTACCTTCAGAATGGAAACCATATTGAGCAGGAACCTGTATATTGCTAAGCTCTCTAGAGGTATAGCATGCATCTTGTAAAATAAAATGTTTGTTTTAGCTTGAAAAGTGACATAGCAGTGAGTTTTGATACAAATTTCTTTCTACAGAAATGTCTATGTCGTGAAATGTTACCATACCAGATTTGGTTGCATTTGGAATGTTAAATATGTTTCTAGACAGTGTTGAATAGGAATACTGTAATTACAATCATTCAATATAAAATTCATTATACTCTTGTAATTTCTTTACTAAATTATCAATTTGTAAGATACTTTTCTATCTTGCACAATCATATGCAATATTATCATTTTAAACATTTAGTTGTTATTATTTTCACTTGAAAATAGTGTTAATACGATAAATATTTTAAATCAAACTTTCTAAAATAATTAAAATATTTTTATTTTACTATAAAGTTCAGGACAAATAATTAGTAATTTTGAAAAGTTAAATATTAATAAAAGATTTATAAAATATTCTTATGTCAAATTATAATTATTTAATTTAAACATTTATCTTCAAGAAGCTATTCTTTATTTGAAATTTTGTCATATCTAATTTACTTTTAGTTCAATTTATTAGAATCTTGCTCTTTGATATGATTTTCAGAAGCATTCCTGGAACTGTAGAAGTAATGTATTGATTTTGATTAAAAAAAAAAAAAATAGAATATGTACTAAACAGTTTAAAATGGAACATGATAATAACATGATCCAGATCTTCCATTCTTACATATTTATCTTTTCATTAATATTCAGAGTGATTCAATAAGAGTTACAGGATTTTAATTTGGTGCTATTTTTGGGGCACTGCAATGCCACTTTGCACCTACAACTATTCTATTGGCTTGAGAAATTCAAGCCAATAGAATAGTGCCATGCAGCTCAACAATATGTGCATATTGTGCAGCGTTTTTATGAAAACAAGGTTGGGAATGCAGTCACAGTGACTGGTGAACAATATTGTGACATGATCAACTTTTTATGGCTCAAACTCGAAGTGACATGGTTATAGCAAGAAAGTATGAAATGTCACATAGTTTATGAAACTTTGCAGTTGCTGCAAGGGAAATTTCCGGATCAATTATCTCCCAAAATGAAATCAACTGACCTGCCAGATTTTGCAACTTGACACTGTTGGACTTCTTCTTTTGGGGCTATCTGAAAGAGAATAAGTGTATGCCGATAACCTGGAAAATATGAAACACCCAAAGGACAATATCTGATGAGTCATAGGTGAAACAGAGCTCAGTATTTTAAAGTGTGTCATGAAAAATGTCACTAAAAGATTAAGAGTTTGCAAGAAAAGTAGGGGCAGCCATTTGCATAGTATTATTTTTGACTCCTAATTTTTCATCTCAGAATTACCTTCAGTGGTTGAATCAGCTAGTGCAAGCCAGTTGTTAAAATTCTTGATGAATGGATAAATGTTGAAGAATAAATAGTACTTTACATATTAAAAGCAATGAGTTATATTGCTGAAAACAATAAAAATACAATTTCTTTTCTCAATTAGAACTTTATGAAACAACCACACATATAAAAATATTAAATCTCTTCATGAAACTAAATTTAGGAAAATTTTTCTTAGTCTTTTCCATTTGAATGAAGAAAAAGTAACTGAAAATACATTCCAGTGTAAGTTTATTGACTGTTGATTGGTTGATTTATTATATGAAAGAAGATGACTTGTGAGAGTAAAAGAAAACTAGATCAATTAAATGAAGTTTCAAGATTCAAAATAAATATAAATGATTTCAGAGATTTTGTAGATAACAATAAATGGGAAAATTGCATCAGTTCCTGAAAAAAGAACTGATGCAATTTTCCCATTTTAAGCTAATAAAGCTTAAAATAATGTCTTAATAGAAGCCAATGAGCTAGAATATTCTACATAGAATGGCTGTATCAATGTCATGTTTAAAGAAAATTGGATACAGTCTACCATTTTCTGTTTAGTTAATAGGCGTGCCATTTGTGTGTTGTGTAAAGGCAGTGAATTAGAAAGGAATGCAAAGGAAAGGAAGAGTTTTAATCCTTAACTAAAAATAACAAGACAGTTCTTTCTCTAACTTTTTGTTTAAATGTTTGTGAAAAAATTATCACAACAGAATTTTTTAGAATCTGCTAGATTTATAATATGGTAATTTTTAAGTTTCTTTGAGAAAACTTTTAAGAAAATTGTTAACACAAACAATTCTTAAGATATTTAGTTTATATGAAATTAGTTCTAGACATTTGTGTAAATGACAACAGGAAAAGGTTAGTTTATGTTAATTTATCTTTGTCATTCAGAATTTGTACATATTCTAATGGTGTAGTTTCTACATACCAGTCTCTTGCACTTACTGGCATTTTTTTCTTTTTTTTGGTCCATCTTTAATGGGCAAATGCAACACTTCCATTTCCCACAACTAGCTCCTTATTACCTCTCTTAGAAGGATTTTAATTCTAACAATATAGTTCATGTCATGTCAATATAGTTCATATAATCCTCAGAGGATTATATGCGTTTCCTGTCATATGGTGTTGGTATGAACTTACAGTATTTTGATAAAACATTAGATACTATAGCAGATATAGAACTGGTAATATCTAGAAGCAATTACAATAAAAAAGCAAAAGAAGAACTAAAGATAAAGATTGCTGATGATTTAAAGAAACTTAATACAAAAAAAGATGCATAATGGATCGTAAGGCTAACCAGCATATAGGTAAATATAATAGATTAAGAAAATTCCTTCAAAAATCTAATTTATGTATTGTTAAAGCAGATAAATTGCAAATTATAATATTGAATTTACAAGATCTGGATGAGAAAAAACAAGAAATCATAAGAAAAGGAAATTTTGAAGAATTAAAACAAGATCCAATAAACAATATACAAAAATCATTGAAGAAAACTCTGAAAAAAATTATTAAAAGAAGGTACTATTTTGATGGTTGAAAGTAAAGAAATATCTCCAGGAGAAAATGTGAGGGTGCCTAAATTAAATGTTCATATTAATTTAAGACACATAAGCAAAATAAGTGCAGACCTATAGTAGATTTTAAGATGACATTGTTATATAATTTGGAAATTTTTTTAAAGAAATCTTTACAGGCTATATCAAATTTGGAATTCAGTATAAAAAAGCTGACAGTTTAATTTCAAAATTAAAAGCAGGAAGAGTTTTACCTGAATATAGGATAATGGGTTTGGATATCGTATCAATGTATCCTTCAATCAAAAAAGAAATGATCATACAGAGTTTATGTGAGTACAATACCCTACATATTTAATAAAATTAGTGACTTTTGCATTGGATAATAATTTCTTTACAGTCAATGGAAGGTATTACTGACAAAGGGACGGAATATTTATGGGTTCAGTTATTGGCCCAAAACTGGCAGAAATAGTCATGATAAACATAGATAAAATCTTGTGACGATTAGGATGAATAGTATTCCTTGCACTGTATGTAGACGACATATTTATTATATACAATACTAAAATAACATCCTCTGAGAAAATACTAGAGAAAGCCAATGAAATTAATGAATATATCAACTTTACCTATGAGAACGAAATATTTGATAAATTTAATTACTTAGATATAACAATAGTTAGGTTTAAAGATCATTTAGAGTATAATAAGTATGAAAAGCCTTGTAATGCAAACAAAGTTATAAACTTTAAATCTTATTGCCCAATTAGCCAAAAAAGAAATATTTATTTAATGGAAATAAGTAAGATCCTTTCTAGAACAACTAGAATTAATAAAAGAGATGAAGAAATTAAAAAGGTGAACAAGAAGTATTTGTTAAATGGTTACCCGGGAAGATTGTCAAAGAATTGATACGATAAATATTTAGATAGCAGATTTCAAGTAAAGAAAAAGCAAGAAATTAATACATATGTCTCTTTTCTGTACATTAAGGGTATTTTTGAAAAATATCAAAAAGTTTTGTGAAAATACAATTAAATTAGCCCCATTTCAAAAAAGTAGGTTATTTGGACTAATAAGGACTGAACCTTATAAGGATAAAGAGCTATTATAAGGAGTGATCTATAGACTCCAGTGTACATGTGGAATACCAAACTATTATGTTGGTGAAACGAAGAGGAAACTGAAAGTGAGGATGTCGGAACATCTGGCTGCAGTGAGGCTTAAAGTTAATACATCTCCCATGTTCTTATATTGTCACATGAATAATTGCCAAGTTGATATTAATAGTGTAAAAATCTTAAATAGGGAAAAAAATATAGTAAAAAGAAAATTCAAAGAATATTTCACGATTGTTATGCAAAATAATGTTATGAATTTAAATAACGGCATGATACCCGCAGAATGCTGGGAAGAGTTGATAATACATAATAGTTGTAAATGCGATGGTGCTTGCGTTAATGATGTGTCTTCTAATGGATAGTCTGTATTACATTCTGGTTGTAGGAAACCCTGCTGAAGAGGCCAAAAAAGGCAAAATGCATTTGGGGTGAACTATAGTGTTAAATAAAAAATTATTTTTCTCTTAAAGTTAACCTGTTGGTCCTTTTGTTTTTTTATACCAGTCTATGGACTTGAAATTTTTTAAGCCTCCAGAAGTCAGAGAGGAAAGGAGAATTATTTTACTGTGTACTAGTTAATAGTACAATTTGGTAAAGACAATTTATCTGACTCATTTGGTTTTTTAAATATTTTTATTAATAACTACTATACTTAGTTGGAAAAATGGAAATTTGGGCAAAAAAAATAAATGTTGTTTTCAATTTTTAGAATAGATTTTACTTAGTGGGGAGTCACTGCCATGCCTCCCCACTAAGTAAAACCAAGTAAAAAAAGGTCACTTTCTGACTATATACAGGGGGGAGTGCAAAAATAGGTTATAGTTATTATGGAAAAAAACATACAGGGAAAAAATATGAAGAAAAAACATTTATTTATATTCAAATTAAATCACAAATGAGGAATACAAACTAATAAAAGATAATAAAAATAATAATAAACACCAAATATTTGTATTTCTCAGATTCTCAACTGTATACCTACTTTTGCCACTCCTCTGTATACAGGAATCAGAGTTGCTGAATTTCAGGGATCAATTTCTCCACCTCCCAAACACCTGATGTAATTCCAAATACAGTATCTCATTTGAAAGAAAAATTGTTTTCATAGGTAGTGAGGAAAATTTCAAGATTTTCTGTAATGCAGTTGCAGAAATATAAGCAATTTTTTTTTAAATATAAGCAATGGCTATTTTTATACTTTTCAGTACAAAAATAGCCAAAAAAGCTGATTTTCTTCTTTTCCTTTACCTTGGACTGCAGACACTTGTAGTAGAGAAAAAACTACCGAGTCTATAAAGCTCAAATTTTAAACTTAAGCATTTCTCATTATTAGTGAGGCACTCATGAAACTTCTGGGTTGATAGGTTGAAGTTCATGGAGTTTCCTATAGAGCTAATTCAGTTTTATGGCTTAATTTTATGCTTCTAAAGATAAAATTGCATGAAACAAATGAATTTTATTCAAAATGTTACTCAGAATTATGAAAGCTCAAGTTTATGTGAATTAAGTTTTTATAACAATTTTTCTAAATGACATATCGAAAGTGTCAGTCAGCGCTGATTGAAATGAATATTGAAAGCATCCAGTTGGCAGCACATTTTGTTGGTGGTTCATTCAGTCACCAAGTGCCAACCAAAATGTATCTTATGTCTTGATGTAATAATTATTAAACAAAATAATTGATGTCCAAACAAAAACATCTGACATGTAAAAAAATTATGCTAAGTAAAAATTTATGACAATTTACTTTCATTTTCAGTTCACATTCAATTTACAGTCAAAATTTTTCTTTGGTGAAGATAAGCTTGGCACTTGGAGGCAAAATGTAGAAAATGATAATACTGTTAAAAAACATGGGTACCACTTCCAAATGCCAAGCTTATCTTTATCAAAGAAAGATTTTGACAATCATCTAAATTGTCATAAATTTTTACTTGGTGTAATCTTTTTAAATCTCAGATGTTTTAGTTTGGATTAATTTTTATTATTATTTGTTTATTTAATATACTATTTAATCATTTTTGGAATTTGTTTATGATGAACATTTACCAGACGTGACAAATGACAAGCCAATTCTTTTTTGTTTTTAATATTCTGAATGTTAATAATTAAAGCTGTTTTATGTTATGTTCAAAAATAGTTTATTTAATCTAATAAACATGATAAAATGATATGAAATGTCTCGGAAAAAAGTATCACATTGTCCTGCCTATTCACCGGGTAAATTAATGCAATTTATTTTTAAAATTATAGTTTTCATTTAATTCATTACCTTTTACATAAATTATAATCTTTCAAGATTTTACATTTTATCAGCAATGATTATTGTATTGCTTAAAAAACAGCTATGAATATTTTTAAGATGTATTGGATTTGCAATAAACTCAATGGTTTCTTCTAAACAATAAGGATGTGGGATATAATATTCACATTTACTAAATTTTCTACTAATAATGACAAAGGTTTTCCACATTATCTGATTTACAGATCCATATCAGAAGTTATAGCATTAACAATTAATCCCACATCTTCACTATATTTAATTATATCAAGAATTAATTTTTAAAACAATCATCTGTTGAGTTGCTAGTATAAAAGTATGCAACAGTGTTTCCACCTTGTAAACCACTTAACATAAAGAACAGTGAATGAGTAGCCAAGCCTGTATGATTTAGTAATGTTACCTTGCCATAATATGTATTAGTACATATGTCATAATCAGTGCTTGTAATGATGTTTCATCCAAAATTAAAACACATTGATTTTCTTAAAATATAAGTTGACAATATGGAAACAGATAAAGAAAAGCAAACACTTTGTACAATATTCCACTTTCAAATTTTAAGTTTTCCATTCATCTATGTAAGGTTCTTAAAGATGGATAAGTCAGATTGCATTTGAGTAAGCTGTCATAACCTTTTGAACCCCAATCTCAATCCTAATGCTGTACATACTGTTTCATTGGACCATTTTTTAAAACACATTGATTTTCAAGAAATGCAGGCTAGCTGATCATCTTTAAATATGTCTTGTAGAGCTGTCTTAACTTTATCATTCTGGCAAGCTCTAAATTTTTGTATTCTATTCCTAATTAATCTTTTATCAACATTGATTAATTTAAAGTGTAATTTAGAAATTATTTTATCCTTTTTCAATATTACACTTTTTAACTCATCAATTATTTTATCTTTATCTTTACATTTCTCAAAACTGAAATCTTCATTGAATATTGTAAAATTGTCTTGTTGAAAATTATCTGTTGCTGGTTCATAACTTGATGCTTGTTCAACAGAACTTGCATCATCTTTTGAAATTTTACAAGTTTTTGAAGAAAGTGGATTTCTTACTGGTGGAACCCTTCTAGATTTTTTAAGTGGTGCATAAGAAAATATGGAAGGGACAGCATTATGCTTCAATTTTCTAGTTCCATCAACTCTAGTTTTTTCCCACTGATCATCAGGAAAATGTACCTGAAAATCAAATTAAGTGTATCATTTCAGATATTAAGACAGCACATTTTAATTGAAACAATTTATGCTATTACTTATTTAAGTGCATGGAACTTATGGTTTGCAATTGCATAATTATAAGTTACATGCAATTAAATAAGTAAACTATATCAATACTCATCTTATGTATACTGATTTTTTTATTTAAATTTTACGCAATTTGGACTGTTTTACGAATGAATATATCATCCGAATATAAAATAAAACTTTTACATACATATACAATTGTTAATACTTCACTTACTTCACATAAATAGCTACTGTCGGTTGCTTTCCAGTTTTCTCTTTTCACTTTTATTTCCCAAAGCTTACGACGTGCAGGATCTTTCGGAAAAACTTTCATCAAAAATCCTTTCTCGCTGCGATTTGTGCAGCCGAAAGCGGCACATCCAGTCATACTCTAAGAATTATTTAAGTATAAAATAAGTTAAACTAAATAACTTCTTACTTAATTTAAAAATATCATTATATAACAACTCGTATAAAACTCAGAAACTTAATATTAATATAAATAAACAGTACATCGTCTATATATTCTTAATATCGCTAACCTTTGATTAATTTTAATTTGTTTGCAGACAACGAACGTATAGACGATTATATTTATCTACGAAGCTTTCGTTCAAAACCCGCTAACACGTTGTTGTTTGGAATAATAATGGTGGCTTAAAGTCATGTGATCATAAACCGCCAATAGCAGAGTCGGTAGATTAACTGGTCTTTCGACTACCTATCTTCGGTCGTACGTGCGGCTAAATATCCAGATGACACAAAGCGCTGATTGGTCAGCTGAATGACGTCAACCCACCGAAGTATCTATATATATAACTCATTCAACGGATAGCGAACAAAGACTTGGAACGGATTATGTTGGTTAACCGATCACCCACTGTATTTTCAATCATTTTTACATAAGTTTAAATTTTTTCTAATGTAAAGAAAAAAGCGTGCTACCTGCATGATGGAGGAAATGTCTTAAAACTGATAAAAATTTAAAGTAATATTAAGAAAACTTAAATCCTATTTTTTAATATTTTTTTCTTTCTAGAAAATAATTTGCAAAATTCATTTCTATAATTTTACTAATATTCCACTGTTATTATCTATCAGGAAGTATTTATAACAAGAGTTTCGGATCGTAGTTAATTGTGCTTTATTCGTAATTTCTATTAGTTAAAAATAAAATTACGTTAAATTTTTAGGATAAATGATTTTTTCATAAGCAACGTCAGTCTTTTCGCCCGATCCGAAGAGTAAAATAAAACGTTTATCATTTGTTTATCGTCCCGTAAAAGTGAAAATATATTAAATTTATGGATAGACATCTTGTTTAAAAATGAATTTTTCTATTAAAAAATAATACTGTAAGATTATGAGATGGAATTATGAATAAAACAAAACATCGGGGACTTAAAATTTGATATTCTTCCACTGAGAGAAGTGCTATTATTAGTAATTGAACGTTCTGTAATATGCATAAGTATATAGCCTAAAAACACATTATTATTTGCATTAATTATAAATTTATTACTCACATGACATACACAACCATAATATTATCTGCATAACATTATTTTGGAAATGAAACTTAAGGTAGTTATAGAGAAAAACAGGGTTCAAAGACTAAAACCTCCTCTTACTCACAGCCAATAATAGGTGGAGGAGACGTAATGTTTGCTAGGGGAAACTACTCGGCGTATTTTTTAAAGAAAAAATCTCATATTCCTTTAAACTGCATAATTACCTCTTTTTTTAACAGTGCAACTTTAAAATTCAGTACGTACTTGATATCAGAACACAATCTCTAAAGCAGTATGTCTGGTTACTTTAGCTATTTTAGAACTACTTTAAGTCTTGAGGACAGCCTAACAAAAAAGCTAAAACCTTATATGCACATGAATTTTGGTGGTTTATGGAGTATATGTAACTTCTAAAATTTATTATTTTGTAAACAAATTACAACATACTACATAATTGCAGGATAATTTCTTATATGCAGTATTTTTCAACATTAAATAGAAATATATTTAAGTATAGTTTTAGTCCTCTCCTTTGTTCTTTGTTTCTTCTTGCTTCCAGAACTTTCCTTTCTAACTCTTGGGTGGTGATGAACGATTCTTGGAATCACTGAAACCACGGAGAACAATAAAAGAAAAGAGGCCCTGAGGGCCGGTAAGAGATCCTTTGGCCCAGGCCTCAAAGTAGACAGACGTCGAATATGGTGCTCCAGGTCACATATGGTAATGACTGGAGAATTCGAGTGTCTGAGAAGAAAATAGGATATCATAGTTACGATAAAAAGTGTAGCAACTAGGTACAAGGAGAAACCTAGTGAAGACGACGGCGAGAGACTTTTCAGAAAAGTTCCACGTGGCATCCCACCCAAATTGTGAAGTCCAGCTAAACTCCGGGTATTTCACTTTCTACTGTATTCTATTTTCCCCAAATTCTCTACTCTCCTTACCATCTCCTTTCTTCCCCTTAGTTTTTAAGTTAGTATATGAGCACTAGTTATAGGTTTTCGGATATTATTTGTACTTATTTGTCTCGAACTGTATAGCTTTTGTCATTCCCGCCATTAATCATTATTAGAAACCGTGCTGTAATTGTTGATTGCGGAGTTGGAATCCATAAAGAACTTGTTCAAATACGCGAAATAAAATATCGTTGCTAAACATTCTTGTCACCTTTCCTTCGTTGGTCGTCTAAGTACATTTCGCGTGAACTTCACAGTATAATCTATCAGGGATAGATCTGGATAAGAACAATTGGGATGATGTCCACTTGACAATTTATTTATAAAAATTACATCTTGAGATTTGGTCCTATTTGCCATTATGTTCTAATGGGATGGAAGGGTGTTAAATTAATATGTACAAAATGGCGTACTTCCACAATATTAATATTAGAAACGTCAATGTTGAAAAACTGGTACAATACTATAGTATAATGCTATAGAGCTAGTGCAAGGAACGGCGAAACTAGATCGAGGCGCCTCTAGCGGCGACGCGGGGAAACAAAATCGGGACAACGAATGTGGCATGTGCTTCTCCTTTTCGTAGCGTACGAATAATGTTTCTTAGAAGGCAGTGTGATTTTGAAGTAATATCTACCGAAACCCTGAGAAAAATTAATTTAAAGAAAGGAGAGAAACTGCTTTTTACAATAAATATTAGTTTGGGTACCCACATCATTACATAACTTTTCACAAAATAAGACTGCCATATTATCTGTACTATAAAGTGGTTCCCCTACATCAGTTTGTGTTCCAGTGTCATGTTTGGTGATCACAGATATGGTTTCGGTGTCCACATCCATGCTATTATCCACGCTCTCCACCTTTTCTTCTTTCCTTCTTGCCTGCCTTAAAAACCTGTCAGCATTTCCACAACCCTGTTTCTTGTAGTATGTTGGAAAAAGTGTGGGAACGTATGCTGGATGGTCAGGGTTGTCAAATTTCCGTCCACTACAAAATGCTGACTGCAGACTTTGCTGTACTTTGTGGGTTTCCAAGGTTTGTCATCTTTTCTAAAAAAAGTGTTTTTAATTTTACATATTATATTACATTACAATTATCAAGCAACTTTGGTCACGTTTTGACTAACGAATTACTTGAAATGATCTTTAATACTGTCCCTGGCTAATAATGACATCATCAAGCATTTTTTAAATTTTGTTATTTATTATCAGGATTTTAGATTTACAGAAATACGAAATGTTTTGGTATTTTTAATATTTTTAATGAGTTATTACTCAATGCACTACGTAAACAATGAGTAGTAATTTAAAGTGGACTACACCTATTTACCGTTAAAAAAAGGCGCCCTAGCAATTTACAGAGATCATTACAATACAATGCATTTAAATGTCACAGTTATATATATACACACACACAACTTTAAAAAAATACCTTCAATGAAAATACCCAACATAATACTAAATCCGCAGAATTGCAGCCAGCCATTTCTCTTTCCTTCCAGAGTATTTTTTATTCGGAAACGAATAAAACTTTGTACTGTACCTGGCGGCGCAGTAATATACGTAACACTACAACCGACCACACAACAGGTATTTTTTGAAGTTTTGTGTGGCAGAAAGCTGTGATTCATTATACAAAAAAAAAAAAAAAAAAAAAAAAATTATTACAAAGAAAATATCATTTCATATTTTTTTATCGTGTTAAATCTAAATTT